AGTCTACAAAGTAGTGAACATGCTGACCCTAATCCACCAAAGTGTTTAAACATGTTCTTAACTGTAAGCATGTGGGTAGTCCCACTGAAATTGCTTCATGTTAAATATATGCTTAAAGTACTTTTATTGGCTTGTAGGATCAAGTTCTATCTATTCCCTATGGCTAGGGACAGAAATTACACATAAACTGGTATAAGTGATCCAAAACTAGTTCTAATCTGTAACACAACAGAAGTTCAGTGCACATAAGCCACTTTCAAAATGAGTAAAACTGGTTTAAAATAAAGCTGGATGGATGCAGTATCAAGACTTAATTGATTTAGGTTAAATCAGTTTACTGAACTTCTGTCCCAGTTCCCCTCCAGATTCAGGTTAACTCACAGTTCCGCAGCATCCCAGGATGCTTTGCATCTTCCTGCAAACCCCCCTCACAGGGTTGGCAGGCTAGCCTTGGGCCAAGCCATCTGCAGAGCAAGGAGGTGTGCTCTACTGCCTGGGCCACTGGAGGCATGTGGCTGCATTTGTGGAATCAAAAGTGAATGTCTGTTCACTTGCTTATTGGTTTAATCTACGTAGTTTAGACTAACCTGCCAAAATTGAAATGATTCAGACTCGGGCTTCTTAACTGTCTGTACTTAAGCCCCTGTGATTATAAATATCATGAACATACCTGACTAGATATAACCAATTATATGAACATACCTGACTAGAAGTCATTCCAAACTATTTAATATTTTCAGTCAGTACTCAGGAGATAAAATCAATAATGCTGAGAGAGTATTAATGTTTTCATAGGGTCATAAACAAATCTGGAAATGCAACTTTATGAAACTGTTTCAGCTCCATTATTATTATCCTATATCACTTTACTTGGTATCCTATATAAGAAAATTCTTTTTTTCTTTCTCTCCATCAAATGGCATATAAGGCATTACTAGAATAATCTTTCCAGTTGTGTCTTATTATCTGTTTTCCAGAGGGAAAAATCATAATAAAATTTGTTTGTGGCACAAAATTTATATTTTCTGTTAGTTTGTAAAATACATATATATATATATTTCTCCATCCTGATTAAATTAAATTAAAATAATTTCCCATATTATGAAGCTACAACAGTAGCTGCACATATAATTGTGATTTTATTCTTACAAAGGGAGTTTGCAAAATCAGCACCACTGAGTTCCATATAAAGTTAAGATCTGAGTGGTATTTCTGTGAGAAAAGTCTTTAAAATCTTTTGACCGTGATATTGTTCAGAGACCTAGTCTGGGAACTTCAAGGTCTTACACTGATTAGACCTTGTGAAGAATGGATTTAGGCAAGAAAATACATTGACTATACTGAGGAAAAAAATTCAGTCATATGCTGAATACAAATACAATGATATATTTTCAACCAAAGCTAAATAAAATCTGCTTCAGTTTCACCATACAACATTTATTCATTAAACCACAGCTAATTTTCTATATTTTACAGTTCTGTTTTGAAATCTAAACACACTGAATATTTAAGAAAGGTTATATGTATTCAACACTTACTCTTTGATAGTAAACATATAACAAATTAAGAAACTATTGTTCCTACCTCCATACACAATTCCAAACTGTCCTGATCCCAACACCTCATCTGGAAAGATTTGGTATACTGTACTAATATCCTGTTGGTATAAATATAATCCATATTAAGTGCTGGGATACAGAAACAAATGTTACTTTAAAATATTCTGCAAATATTAATTTATATACTTTTACAATAGCATATTTTATGATATTACAGAAATGGAGGGTGTTATACCATTAAGATAGGTTTATTTGAAAAAAAAAAACACAAAAAAAAACCTGATTGTAGAGGGGATCATAGTGACACTTCAGCCTAGACCAGAGGTGTCAAACTCATTTTGACCACATGGCTGTATCTGAACTGCAGGGCTCCTTATGGGCCAGTCCAGACATAGTGGCAGTGGGAATCACCACGGCCATTGCTTGCCCCTTACCTCCAATACACATCCCCAGTGGGGGTCCATGGCCTGCATTCTGGGGATGAGACCTGTTTCTGTTCATCCTATCTCCAAATTCCCAGCCCTCCTACAACCCCATGGGCAGATGACACGACTCTGTGAGCCATACATTGACACTCCTGAGTCAAAGTTCTATTCCAAGCCCAGTCGTCCATTGGACTAGTGTCAAAGGTTTTTATTGTATTTTATTTTATAAGTTTCTTTTTTCCCTTTTCCCTAGCTCACAAATCACTAAAAATATTTGAACCTAGGAAAAACTACTACATTTAATGCTCCAGGCCTTTCAGGTCCTTATAACTTCTTCCCAAACTGAGAAATGTACAAATGGAAAAGGCCTTCCTCAGTGCTAGGGCACTCATTGGAGCCCCTCTCTTATTTATTACCTTGGCCTAATTGTATCAGGTTTTCATAGGACAGTCAGCAGATATCTCCCACTGGAGTGGCTCTGGGAAAGGTTTGCAGGATTTCCCCCCTCCCCTTCCTAGAGTCAGCCTCAAATTCCTGGCTGAAGCACTTCTCTGCAACTGCAATGGCATAGCTATCTCCTCCCCTCCCTGGAAACTGGAGCACTGCATATGCAAAGAAGAGCCTTCAACTGGGAATTTAGGGCTGGCTCTGAGGGTGGAAAGCCTGTGAGCCCTTCCTGGAACCACTGCAGCGCAGGGTCCTGGGGCTCACACAGGACAGGGACACTCTGGACCCTGCGCTGCAGCAACTTGGGGAAAGGCTTACAGATTTCTGCACCTGCACTCCCCTCCTCCCTGCCCCCAAGCTGGAGCTGAATTCCTGGCTGATACTGCTTCTCTGCAGACAGGGGGCTCCAGTTCCCACGGAGGGGGGCAGCAGTCATGCTCTTGTGGCTGCAGAGAAGCAACTTCAGCCAGGAATTTGGTGTTGGCTCCAGGGGAAAGATCCTGTGAGCCCTTCCCAGAGCCACTCAAGTGCAGGATCCTGGGACTGAGATGGGACAGGGGAGGGACACTCTGCGCCTTGCCAACCAGACTGGGAATGCAGGGTATGCTGCTGGTAGTGCCTCCCCCCGCAGCTTGCAAGTACCTTCCCACCCACTCTGACCTACATGGGGTAGACCCCCACACCCTCACCCTGGACAAAGCCCAGGGACCCGTATGTTGCCATAAGGTGACAAGCACACCTCCCTCCCACTAGCTGCCTGCAGAGGAAGGAGGTATGTACCATGAGGCAAATAAAGGATGGCCCCCGCTTAGCTGAGCTTGGTTGCCCTTGGTGCAAGCACAAAGTGCCCCCTGCCTTTTGGCTTCAGCCAGTACAAGCATTTGTCTGCCTCCCTCAGATGAAGAGCAAACATGAGTTCCATTTGCTAATGGTCCAATCTACACAGTTTAGAGAAACCTGTGTAGATTGGCTCAATTCTGCTTTGAGCTTTTTGACTGTCTGTATTTAGCCCCAATTTTAAAAGGTTCAAGAGAAGTAGCAGATGCAGTGAAGAGTACATATGCAACCTGTTATTCAGTTCCTTGGAACAGCTCCATGCTTGGGAAGATATGCGGTGCAGAGTTTGTGTTGTCAGGGAAAAGGTATTACCTTTTCATTACTTACCAAGAGGTGACATTACTCTCTATAAGTATTTATTTTGCAGAGCTCCTGCAAACCAACAGCTGTGCAAGTCAATTTTGCCTGGATTAGGTGCTTAAATAATCATCATGATGCAAGGTTTAGCTAAGATACATGCTAAGCTAAACTACAAACATGTAATTTTTCTGTTTGAATGAAAAAATACTTTATGTATGATGATTTTATCTCAAAAGTTAATTGTATTTTTGCAAACGTGAAAATGATTGCTAAGAAATCCTTCCAACCACCCATCTTTCTAAAAAAGATCAATGACTTTGTAAGCTTTATCATATCATGTCTAGCATTCAGAGAATACTCACCACATTTTCTTGAACCTGGCAGTTTGACACTGAAATGCTGATGGATATATCCCCTGGGGAAAAATAGTAAAATGCACACTAGATAGCTGTGCTTTTAGTTCAGAAACACAGTAAATGTCTTTTCCTATTATGTTATATTGCTATACTAATGCCTACATACAATCCTAGAAATGGAATCAATTAGGTTATGCTATTCACCTTCCAGCCAGTACAAAGTTGCATCTAGCCCACATTTACATGACTTGCAAAATTAGTTTCCACATTTTGTGGAAGATGGTTTCAGAGTCTGATAGAACTCATTATTTAAATGTTTCTTTGAATAATCTCATCCTTTTATCTTGCTTATAACCTCTTTACCACCTTAAAATGCCATTTTACATCCTTCACCTCAACTGCTGGAGCATACTGTAGCATGAGCATCCATAAGTAGGGTTTTCTTTTAGAGGTGGGTCTCACTTGGCAAGGCTGAGAAAGAGTCTTCTTTGGCATAACTGATAAGGACAGAGCTTTAAACTAGGCTCTCAGGAGAGAAGGTTGGGAGAAAACCATACACTCTCCTTGCTGAAGATACAGCTAGATAGATAGATAGATAGATCTATAATATGAAGGAAACAGAGGAAATGTGGCTGTGGTGATAAGAATAGTACAAATGGAAGCCAGGCAAGTATTCCAGTTGATAAATTGATGGATTTTACCTCCTCAAAGAGGTACATTTGGCATTCCAAGCAGTAAATCAGCCAGCTCCTGTGAGGATGATTATTGGGGAAAAGGCCATGTAGCAAGAAGACCCTACCTCATCCAAAGGGTTAAGCAGTCCCACACCCTCATTTCCAACCCAGCCCATAATAACCCTAAGCTCCACAATATAAGACCAGTTGTTCTCTCGCTAGTCTACATAGCCCCCCAAACGCCAAAGTGGCTCCACTGTTCCCTTTTCAGATTGCAGTGTCAGGCTGACACCCTCCTATTCACACTATTCTGTTCATTGACGCTTATCTTCCTTTTCCCTTGCTTTCGTGGTGTGTCTCCTTTCAAGGCTATTTATGAAACCCACCCTGTTGAAGTATCAACAAGGCTATTCACTACTTTCCTTGCTGGAGGCACATTTTGTCTTGTCCTGCACACGTAGACCTGGGTCCTAAGAAAGACCCTTTTGTCCTTTCTTTCCCCCATGTATAAACTGAAGCACACATTATTACTACATGAACACATATACATGATAAGTATTACAGTAAAACCATGGTCTGTCACAGACCTCATTGTGTACAAAACTAATAATCCATAGTAAAAAAAGATCAATCTAAACTGCCAAGGGTACAGAGAAAAGCTATTAGTATGGTTCTGGGAATGGAGAACCTTATATGAGAGGAGACTAGCTTTTAAAATGCATTCACAATGTAACTATCAGGTTGTGAGAATAGGTATGTAAGTTGTAGGAAACATGGGGTAACATCCTTGACTTGGATGAATCTGTTTTAACCCAACTAATTGCCTGCCACTATAGTGGCAAGGCTTTGGTAGTACACTTACCTCCTTTGTGTTTTATCTATTTAGCCTATTTCAGGATGTTTATTTTATTTTTATGAGGGGCTCTGTGACCATGCTGTGCAACAAGAGCCTGTGACTAAATGAAGTTGGCAACATGGAGTGATGAGAGAACTCCTCCAAGTCCTTTTTTGGTTTGGGGATGAGTTTCTCATTGTATATATGGGTCTCAGGCCAACTGAAGATGGAGGCCTTCATTTATCTTATGCTGTTTTAAATGGATTCTTATGCCATCCTTAGTGCAAAGAATCTCAGTGCTTTACAACAGCATGTTAAGCAGCTTGACTAACCTACACCACATGTAGTTTCTTCTCTGTCATTCCTTTCCTAGAAAGATAATCGTGTACAGAATCAGATTTTGGTATGGTTATTTTGTTATCATCTACATACTACTCTGTGTGGGTGCATCTACACATTTAATTTAGTACTTGTATAATCAAGTACTAAATACATGCACAGGAACCAGAGTTCCTGTGCAGTAGTACCAGTGAACACCTTTTTAGTGATGCTACTGTGCAGTAGTGTATTAGCACTGTTTCTAATGTGATGCGCTACTGCACACTATTATTAGGCTACTGCACACTTAGTGTCTCATGTAGACGCACCATGTGAACAATTGTAGGCTTGTACTTTAACCAGTGGAAAAGCTCAAAGCACTTTTCCCTCTACCCAAGCAGCAGTTCTGAACTGCTAGAGTTGGGAGCTTTATGTAATCCATATGGTGATGACTTCAGAAGTAAAAGCTAGCTTCCCCAAAGAAAAGCAGTGGTGGGCTCCAACTAGACTTCCAGATGTTTATGTGATTAGCAGCTGCCAGTGCCCCGATATAAGGTAGAGTTGCAGGGGACTGTGTGCAGCACTTTAGGCTACAAATTGCCTTTTTTGGCTCTCCTGCTTTCCACATCACATAACAGAAGGTGATCTGTAATGATCTCCACAGTTCTCCAAATTATTCACAAGTGGGCTAAACTACTTTGAACTACTTTTAACAAATATATTTTTTGTTTGGTTTGGTTTGGTTTTCCCTCAAAATCAAATAAAAACTCTAACTCAGCTCCTATCCAACTCTCCATTCCCTATTCCTGTCATATAAACTTGCAGCCCCTGCATAATTTCACTTATGGAAAGTACAGAGAACCTAGAATCAGGATAGTGGTAAAGAAAGGAGTAAAAGATCAGCTGCACAAACAAGATTTTAAGTAAGTCTAGGCACAGACATTTTCCCCTACTTGTTATCTTACATTGGTTTTCCTCCCAAGTGCAAGCAACATATGCAGCCTTCTGGAGTTCAGAGTTTTCCCAGGATTTTGGAAGCCTTAGTCCAGATAAAGTTTGCATTTAATCATGTTAGTAACAGAAATGATGATGATGATGATATTCTATTCCAGCACATGCTCTGAAGTTCCTTGCCAATAAATATATACACCAAATATTAATATACTTGTGCAATATTGGCCCAAAGTGTTTCCTAAGCCCTGTTAACTTCAGTGGGACTATTTATATTAATCCCAGTGGAGTATGTATTACCTTCTTAAATACACTGTCTATATGTAAAATGAAGATAGGTAATTACACTTACTGTGCAAGCTGGGGCCTGATCCTGCTGGTGCTCCTTTTGGGATGACTGGCATCAGAGCATGTTGTATAGCCATCTCCCACATTCTTGCCACATCCAGGCCAACGCCACTGGTGAGGACGCTGTTATTAAGTGGGATACTTGAGCGGTTTTCTAGGTTTTCTCCAACATAATATATTATATTTGCTGTCGTTATTTCAAAACAATGAGGATTGGCTCCTTGAGGAAGTAAAGTAAAATTTTTTGCGGGTTCCAGAGACAAAATCTCAGATAATGGAATTTCCTGGCAAGAGAAGATATTAACTTTTGCATGTAGACTATTACAGTGCTGTAAAATAAAACTGAACTGAGGATACATTTAATTTAAAGTATAATACTAGCTGTTGCTTTTAGTCACCAGAGATGTATTGCCTCTGTGAAGAATGATCAGTTGTATAGCATACGTATTTTGCTGATCATTGTAAGTTCTGGTCTGTACCTTGGTGGTAACAGGCAAGTTAAACACATATACAGGTTAAATAATGAAAATAAATGTAGAATGGTGTATCTAAAAGAAGTACCAGTAGCATATAATACAAGTAGATAGTTATTAACAGGTCTATTCACTCCAGTTTCTAAGCATTGGATTCTGTAAGTCTGCGGAAAACATGGAAAATACTGCATAAAACAACAGAAGCCATTTTTACCTTGTAATATTTGCTTCCAGTTTCATTTTGAAAGAGTGTTATACATTTGCTATCTAGTCTCCAGTAGTGTCGCTTCCTCTGTAACAAAAAATTATAATAAAAATATTTTCTCAACAGTGTTTAAAGTATGTTAATGAGATATTGTTAATAAAATACATTGTGAAGGATAAATAATTGTATTACATGATTTTCAGAAGGATTTTTGTATTTGTTTGAATAAGTGAGTAGTTTGGGGTTTCATGCTGTTCTCATGAAAATCTATTCATATTTGGCTGAGGTATGAAAATTAAAAAAATTTCCATTTGCATTCTGTAGGTACAGGCTTTGTACATTTCTTGGTAAGCTGCTGCTCCAGATTTCACAGCAGCTGTTATACTTTAAATGTTATATCACCATGAGCCTGTAGCTGTACTAGTTTAGCATAACAGCTACAACTTTAATCCTACTTCATCCAGAGTCAAAGTTAGGGCAATTTAGTTCATGTGAGTCACTATGAGCTCATGCAGATGTAACAGTTATAATATAACAGCTGCTGCACTCTGGAGCTGCAGCTCTTCCTCCCCTTTTGAAGTCTCTACAAATGTTTGTTTGTCCATACCCTGTGTTATGCTCAGCAGACTACTCATTGTTCTGTCTGTACTGAGCATGATACCCAGCATCTTCACTTTTATATCCTACAATAAAACCAATGTTCTCATGCTTGATTCAGTAGAAAAATAACTTTCCCTCTCCGAGTACATCATGGTTTACAAAAGTCTTAATTCTTCTTTAAAAAATAGTAGAAATCATAGAGAAGTAGGGCTGAAAGGACCTCAAGAAGTCATCTTATCTAGGAAATGATAGTTTTAGAATATAAATGTGAGGCAAGGATTTTTGTGGGTAATACCTTTTATTGGACCAACTGCATGGTTGGGATAGACTTAGACAAATTTTGGAATGCAATGCATTTTTCTTTGCCAAACATCTTTAATAAATGTTCTGGTAAATGATCTTATTTTCTTAGAATTTCTTTCTAACTGACTTCACATTCACCTGCTTGTGACAGTAAATCTGACATCTTCAGATTTGTTTTGTTCTGTAACTAACCTAACAAGAAGAAATGAGAATTACATGTGGTTTTAGTATGTGGCCCCTTTTATGAAATATTTAAAACTTTAGCATCCAATCCTGAGAGTATCTTAAAAATCAGTGTTAGTTTTAATGACTAAAGTGTATAATTTATTTGCTGAATCATATCCCTTAATACTATATCAAATAGATTTAGTAAGAGATGTCCTTGTTAAGAATCTTTCTTACCAGTGTGTCCTTGCTTGTAAAGTGAACCATCCATCCTTCTTTCATCACTGTGCTACTTTTCCTTTTTGTGTGTTTGACAGACTGTACCACTCTCATTAGCGGAATATTGTTGCTTGCTGAAGGGCTTTAAAACAATCAATAAAAACTTTAAAAAATATACATTTTTAAACAAAACACTTTCAAAGTATGATACCGTTATTTAGTATCCAGTGAAATAGAACTGGGAGAGCAACTGGTTACCTGTCCTGTTGAAAACCTGTTGAAAACTAGAGAGAAGAACAAAGAAGATAGTAAACTGGAGGTTATTGAAGACAACTGGGTGTGGAAGACAAAGGTTTAAGTGCTGCTATGCCTGAATTAGACCAGGGACTTGAATTGATTGCTCAGCCACTAGGGTTTCTAGCTATTCTTGCAGTTACTCTTACTCATTCTAATCCATCCGTGAACTGAGGACTCTTGAATGAATCTGCATGATTTGGTAAAAAGATACTGCAAAATGCTAGATAGGCTCTACAAAGCAAATAAATAAAGGTTTTTATCAAAATTTCAGCCCAATGGGAAGAATATTGGTCATGACCAGACTAAGATAGTTGAAGAAGAATTGTTTTGCAATTGGAAGTGCTAGGTGAAAGCTGTGTTGTTATAATCACAAATTACAACAATCTAAGTCTAACTGGAAATATAAAAAGATACTTTTGAGGATAATGTCATCTTTTGATATTCCTATTTCATAGTCCAGTCAGCGGTTATAATTTTGACATGCTGTGTTTCTGTTATTTAACAAAGCCTGGGGTTTCAAGCTGTTGAACAACTGTTTCTGACATTTTCATTAAAAGAGTATGTTTAAATTGAAGTGATACTATACTGAGAGACTGCCATTCTTGTACATCTGCAGATAAAGCTGACGGCAGAGAAATTTTATGCTAAATCTGGAAGTCCATGTGAAATATCACTTTAAAACTTCTCCTTTGGTCTCTTACTCCCTCTCTTTTATTTTGAAACTCTTTATGTGTTGTATACTCTTACATTCAAAATTAATATTCCTTCACAAAATAATTTAAATATGTATGCCACATCCTAGGTGAGTGCCCTGATATCTAGGCTATTTGTTACTCTGATGTGATTTCTGATTTTTATCATGTGCCTGAGAAAGCTTTCCTAATAGAAGTTTTGTTGAAACAGGTACAGTAAAAGCTCTGTTATCCAGCATCCCCTGGGAATGGGGGATGCTGGATAACAAAATATGCTGGTTAATTGAGTGGCCCCAGCCGCCGCTTCTCCCGCCACGTCTGGGGTCTCTCTGCTCCTCCTGCAGCATCACCGTCCCTCCCGTGGCATCGCTGCCTGTCCTATTTCATAGTCCAGTCAGTGGTTAATTGAGGGCCCCACAGGACAGGGAGGCAGGCCCCGCACAGCCCTGCGCAGCCTGTTATGCCCCGGGGCCATGAGGGCTCGGCAGTGCAGGCTGCTTTGTGCAAGCTGGGGCCTGATCCTCCTGGTTCTCCACGGGGGCTTGGAGAAACTGGAAGCGCCATGGTGGGCACTTCCTGTTTCACTTTATCTTACAAGCCGGCATGCCGGTTAGTAGAGCAGGCCGGCTTGTAAGATGCTGGATAGCGCAGCTTTTACTGTATATTCCTACAAAAAATCAGTTTCAAGGACTGAACTTTTCTGAGAAAAACTGTTCAACTGGAAGTTTAACTGAACTGTTTTGTCTCCTTAACAACCAAGCTACTACATGATATGGTAATTCTGTGGGAACTTTTAGTGATCAGACTATGCCTATCTTCAACTTTGTTGTTAAAGGAACAATCTGATGGGGTCACTTCTATTCTCAGATTTACTAAATCTGACTGGGAAACTGCAAAACTCAAGTATACATAATGTTTCGTCCCTATTGGACAGACGTATAGTTACCTCTTAGGGGGTGGGTCTACACATTCATTAACGTGTCATAGTTACTGCACATTAAGTTTAGTACTTGTATAACCAAGTACTACATCAATGCACAGTAACTGGTGATACTGTGCAGTGATGTCTGCACATGGCTTTTCAGTGATGGTAACTAGCACTATTACACAGTAGCATACTAGCACATTTTTTGCCATGACACATTACTGCGCAGTAGTATTAGGCTACCGTGCAGTTAGTGTCTTGTGCAGATGGGCCCAAGGAGTTAGTTACATCTCAATCTGAACCATAACCACTGCAGTACTATCTTAGGTTAAAAAGAGCTAGGAAAAAATAAATAAACAATAAAAAGTCTGTAACCCATGAAAAAAGGTCATTCTTGTTCTTTTTCAGAACAAACAAATGTAGGGTGCTTGCTTTCTTTTCACTTTGCTGCTCCTTTTTCTACAAGCCAGTTATATTTAAGGGATTTGAGGAAAAAATATGTTTCCATGAAAGCAGCTGTAAGAGTTATTTTGACAACACAAGATATCCTTATTATTTTTCTACACTCTGGAGGACTATATAAAAATGTTCAAGTTTTTGTTCACATCACAGACATGGTAGATACAATAAGAAATGGCCGTATAGCTTATGCTCCACAGCTCACCTGATCATTCTGTTAGAATCATCATGGTCTGGATCAGCATCTTGCATCTCCCCATTATCACTGTGGCATCCTGTCATTGATATCTCAGAATCATGAGCCATAGATTCTTCCATGTCATCCATAAGACCACTGTTTCTTTCACTATCATTGTCATCGCTTCCTTCTTCCATGACCACATCAGAGTCAGCCCCGGGACTAAGCAAATCTGCAATATTATTTTCAGTGTTATGATGATACAGTGGGGGATAGGCCAAACCAAGAACAAAGAGCATAGAACAATGCTGCCTTGGAATTAGGAAACAGTGAGGTCCATATTTGAATAGTGATGTCCTATCATTAAATAGGTTTTGGGAATTTCCATCATGAAAAATGCAATATTTCTAGAAATATTTCCAGAAAGAAAACATAAAATATAATCTTCTGTTAGAACTACCAAAGTTCAAGCAAGATTTCTTGTCCATGGGCTTCGATTCCAACTTGCTGTACTCATGAACATTTATCCTCTAAATTTCCTGGCAGATTTTTTATACAGCTTGAATGATGTGCCTGATAGCTGTTGGCAGTCCACAGGTGCAAACTGATGTATGGTTAGAGAAATAATTTAAAATCTAACAATTTCCTATTACATGATCATAAGCTATTAAAATAAATTCCCAGGATAATTATTTAGAAACATGAATTATATAATGAAAGAAATATAATTTCTTTGAACCACTGATTTTTCCCTTTTGCGTGAAGGTTGCAAAAAGCAGCAGAGTAATGCATAGTTTGAAAAGAAACTATTTCCAAGTAATCTGAATGTAACAAACTGATCTCAGCAATTCCAAAACTAGGTAGCACTGAAAATGCAGAGTTAGGATTTACCTCAAGATGGATGTAAATCACTAGAGAGGCAAAAATGGGCAATAAAACAGCATCAGATTCACTCCTGTCCCAAAAATTTGGTTTCCTGTCCTTTCAAAAAACAACATAATGAAAAATCTCTTTTTTACTTGGAAAACTATGTTAAGACTTTAGTTGGAACCAATCTGACTCTGTTTGGTACAGCATTACCAGGATCTTCCAGTACTGTTTTTAATTTCATACTGCATTTATATTGGCTGCTTCTACATAAGACACTGACTAAGCTGTTGTTACTGTAGTACAAGTACTTGTATAAACAAGTGCTGTGCAGTCATTTAGTACAAGTACTTGTAATCATTACTGTAATACAAGTACTTGTATAAACAAGTACTAAATGACTGCATAGTAACCAGAGTTACTGCGCAGTAGTGTTGCTGTATGGCTTTTTCGTTACACGGACTGCGCAGTAGCCCGATACTACTGCAGAGCAGCATCGCATCACGCTTCCTGCAGCATCCCATCACGCTTTCTGTCATGTCACGAGCTACTGCGCAGTCAGCGTTTTGTGTGGATGTGGCCATTGTTTTTCCTCAAACAGTTGAATACTGCTGTCTTGCTCTTAAAGCCATGAGGTGCCTTAGTGAGATACGAATAAGAAACAACATGCATCATATACTCAACATTTATCATACACTTATACATCTTTTGCTGGAACAATTTTGAATTTAAAAACACAGGTATTTTGGCCCCAGGTAAGCCAGATACTAGACAGACTTTGATTAAAGAGTTGAAAAACTGCAGTACTAACAGGTAAGAATGGGAATATCAGGCTTTCTGTGAAGTTTGTCTTTCAGTTTCTAGCCATGTACTGCAAGGTGAAGTAGGGAAGAAACAACTATAAGACCCTGTGTGTGTCAATCCTAGTTCTGTCTGTGTGCGCATACGACAGGAGGGAGAAGTCTTCTCAAATGCCATTAACAAAAATAAAGTCAATCTTACAGAAAGGATGCCTCAGAAAGAAAGAGTGGAGGAAGGTGATTGACAGCAAAACATTTTCACAGATGACATGTAGCTGGAGGGGACAGGAGAGGAATAAAGGTCATTCTGGCAGATTTTAACCACTCAAACCATACCCATTAATTCAATAATTTGGATACAAGTTATTTATATGAGGGTATGCAAAGAACATATTGGACTTCACTCGTAGCAGAAGTAACCACGGAGTCATGGTTGACACATTAAAGTGTGGGGATCTATCAGTTGTACCCCATCACTTGAGTATTTCTAATCCTTATTTATACTAAACTCACAGCAGGTTAAAAATAATCTCTGATATTTAGGATTTAAATTGTTCACTATAAAATCATAGTTTGAATTTCATAGCTCCATCCTTACCCATTATTTGCTACTCTGGGATAGAAACATGACTGAGGAGACAGAGCAACTTTGAGGAGACAGGTAGAGCAACGTATTTTAATTACTTTGATTGAATAAAAGAAACTTATCCATAGGTCTATAAAAATAAATTGGAGCGCATGAAATGAAACAGCCTGTGGTTCTGGTAAGGGCACTATACTCACTGTATCTAGGATCTAGTTACCATTGCTGGGGAATGCACTAACTAATCAGGAAAAGTACCACAAGCAGAAACAGCAGTAAGAAGCTACAGGTGGAAGGGCACTGCTTCTGAAGAGCTATCCTGGGGAAAGGGAAAAGTGCCTTCTCTTAGCAGCTTCTGAAACAACTCCTCTCTCAGCAGGAGCTTCAGACAAACTTCCCTCACTCAGTGCTGCCCACAGAGACAGCACCACATACTTCTCATCAGCTTGGCATCAGGCACAGTGTAGGAAGAAAATTGGCAAACGCAGCATGGTATTTTTCCCCCAAGGGAAGGCTGGAGCCATTGTCATGTGGAGTGCAGCTGCCAGGAACAAGAGCAGGGAGCAACAGGCAGTGGTTCAGGAGTGTATATAGGTTTGCCCAACTCTTCAGATGTAGTACCTGTCTCCCTGTCTACATGGATCACATCTCCTTTTCACCATTATTTCTTCTTCTGCTTTGCATTGCTCTCAAGAAGCCTCAAAGGACTTGGTGATTTCATTGCCCCTCTTTGACCTCCAAACAGGCTCTGTGCTCACAATTATCTGCACTATCATATATGGTGCCCCATACATTTTTTTTTTCCAAAGTGGGAATTGGTTTTCTATGAAGAAGACTCACTGATGCTACCAATGAAATGAACATACAGATTGTTTTTCCGGCAAATTTTTAGCCCTTGGGTTTAAATGTCAATCTGTGCATCACCACCATGGAGTTATATTATAGCAAAATAGAATGTTATTATAGGAGTGGTTATAGTGGCCGGAGATTTAGTAAAGACTTTAAAACATGATTAGTGATTCTGAGTGCCCAGGTAAGACATTTTAGAAGGAAGATTTTCAGGAAATGTCAAGCACTGACTCTGACAAATCAGGTCCCCTATAAGCTGTCTCCAGTTGCGTACCCAAAATCACTAGTTATACTTTTGAAAATGTCAGCCATAATTTTCATCTGACATTAACTGGCATTACACATGGAGATTTGTGATTTGTATAGTCAGTTTTGCCAGTATTTCCATTTTATTCAATTAAAAATAACTTAGGTTTAGGAAGCACTCAATATCTGTTTAATGAAGCAGAAAATTAAGAAAAAAACTTTGACAGAGGAGATTGTTTAAAAAAACCGTATACATACTTTAATAAAGTTCTACACAGTTCAAGCTGACAATTTAATATACTGTGATATATATTAGGAATTTAACACATTACCACATATCTTATTTCCTTATCGCATGGAAAAGTGACATTTTCAGAGCAATCAACAACTAATCTAAAACCACCCTCTTTCCCATCAGTACCGTCTGTCAAGCCTACCCCTACATTCCTGCACTTGACATAAAACTGATGTCACATGCAAGAGAAAGTGGGAAGATTTCCAAACTTTAATTTTTGGCACCTGATGCAATGAGCTTCATGCCAACAGGAAGGGGCAGAATTTTCTCATGGAGGGCTTGCCCAATTCTTCCAGGTATACTTTTCTTCTCAGGCAATCATCCTAAAATGAACACCTTTTTCTTTCCTGATCTAAAGTGCAATTTTGTTTTTGTTTCTAGGCTTTTATTGACTAAAGTTTGTTTGTTAATTTATTTATTTATTAATATTTGGCTGCCACTGGCATCCTACTAAATGTATACTTCTGAAAGCCCATGGACACTGAACAATTTTGCTGCTGTGATCACCTAGTTATTCTGGCTATACCTGGGCCTTTCTAAAAGGCAAGTGCTAAAATGATGGTAATATTGTTTCTGAGAAGATGATGCATGAGCCATCAGCAGGTTTCTTCCCATACTTCATGCAATATTTTACAAAGGAAAAACATTCCCAGGAAACAGAAAGCAAGTGTTTCTTCAGGCACTGTTCAAAGCTCTTTTCTTTTACTGGTAATCTAAGCATAATAAGCAACAATCATTAAGACAACTTACCCCCATTAATGGCTACTTCACCAAGGCAGTTATTTGGCACTTTAGGTGCACAGCGCTTGTGACAATTGAACCTACAATCTGATAAGGCAAAGAAAACATTCTGTTGAAAGATTCTATTTGTATTGCATACATAAATGCAAATCTCTATCATTTGAAAAATGTGACATTAACATCACGTGGCTAGAAAATGCTATACTGTTTGCATGCCAGTTGCCAATGGAACTCACACTGGTACTTCTTTGAATTTAGACACAACCTGAGTTCAAAACAGCTGCTTTGAAAGCATGCTGCTCAACATTAGAAAAAGGATGGATAGTTTAAAACACAAACTGTTTGTCTTTACTACGATCAAGGATTTTTTTAAAGAATATGTTGAACAACATATTCTGAAACTCTAGTGTACACAAGGGTATTTGTATTTAAGGGTATGTTAGCTGATCAACTTGAACTTCCAAACTGAACTTCAACTTAACTAGCTAACATGCTGAAGAGTTACCTGTTTTGACTACACTACATTTTTAGAACCCTGTTACTCAGATGGGAGGAAAATAAAAAGGGAGAAACAGCAATCAGTGCAGTCGGTCTGAAAGGGCAGAACCCATGTCAGGGAGCCAGCATCCTACCACTTTAAAAGAACAGAGCAGCAGGAAAAGAGCCTGCCCTTTAACTAAGAGATTAAAACTACTGAATTGGCAGTAGAGGAGGCAATCAATTGGCAAGGGGAAGGGGCTTATGGTCACATAAACCTGCCTGAAGCCAGAAGTAGAGAATGAGAAGCTCCGCTGGTGTGAGACAAGTTGCTGTCTGGGGAAGGGCACAGACGCAGCAGCTCCTGTGTTACAGGCGCAAGGAATTTTTGTGGCCCAGGCACTAAGGCTATGGACAGAAGTTGTGCATAAACTGGTTTAAGCGATCAGAAACTGGTTCAAACCTATAACAGAACAGAAGCTCAGTGCACATAAGCCAGTTTCAAAATGGCTGAAACTAGTTTAAGATAAACCTGGATGAATGTAGTATCAGACTTAACTGATTTGGGTCAAACCAGTTTATCTAACTTCCGTCCCAGACCACTTCCTGGTTCAAGTTAAATCACAGTCCCCCAGTATCCCAGCATGCTTTCCAGCCCTGGGCTGAGCTGTGCTGTCTGCTCCAGAGAGCAGGGCTGGACCTGCCCCTCTGCTCCCTAGCTGGAGCACTGTGGGCTGGCTGCCAAGGTGGGGGAGGCAGGCCCATCTGGGGATGAAGCTCAGTCTTTGGGGGGGGAACTACCCCCGACCCCCAGACAAACCTCAGCTGGGGTCTGGGCCAAGAAGGGGAGTTAAACACCCCTTCCTCCACTCAAATTTGCTGCTGGCTGCAACTGTGGACTACAAACCCCAGAGACACCTGGAATCAGGAAGAGGAAGTGATGAGCAACCCTGCAGTGTCCTGCTGCTGTGAGCGTAGACTGCAAATCCCAGGGACCTTTGGGGGCAGCAAGAAGAGGAAGCAAACACAGCCCATGCTGGCTACATGCCAGAAAGCCATGCTTTAGTGCCCCCTGGCTTCTCGCCTGAGCTACTGCAGGCATGTGATTGCATTTCCTGAATCAAAGGTAGATGTCTGTTCACTTCTGTTTCAATGTAATCTCTGCAGTTTAGACTAACTTTCAAAGACTGAATCAATTCAGCTTTGGGCTTTTTGACTGTACTTAGCCTGAGGGTTCATGAGGGGTTATATGCCAGGGTGGCTAACCCGCACCTGTGACATTTGTTTACTCAGAGCGAGAAGACTTCTGTTAAAGCAGCAGTGCTTTTTGTTGCCTTTGCTGTATTGCACCCAGGGAGCAAAGACATTTTTGTTAAAGCAGCAGCTTACTTTTATGTTAAAGTTAACTTGGTGGACTGGGTGTGGCTGTAGGGATGAATGTGAAGTCCAGAGCAGGGTACTCGCAGGGAGCACCAAGGCCAGGCATAAGCCAGAGATTGCCAGAGGCTGAGAGGCCCAGGGACTTTATTCCATGATCAGTGAAAGGTCAGGGATTGAAATCTGAGGGGGCTAGAGCTCAGAAGCTGGGCCTGAGTGCAGTGGGCCTAGGCTGATGGGACCCAGCTAGAAAAAAGGGACAGAAGCCTGGTAAGACCAAGATCTCAACAGGTGCTTAAAGCTCTGAATAGGCCATATTGTGTATTGAAGCAAGATACCTTCTGAGAACAACAGCTGATAACATCTGCAAGGCATGAGTGTGAATATGGGGGTGGCTGGAGGCCACAATTATTACCCCTAAGGCTTAATTAGGGGCTGCCTTAAAAGGTGAGGCCCACCCCATAGAGTTTGGGGCAGAGAAGTCCAGAGGATAGTGCACCAGGCAAAGATACCTAGGAAGGGGCTACCCTGTTCTCTGCCAACAGCATCTCTGAAAAAAAAAACCCTTAAAGAATAAGTCATGGCAGGTGAGAGATAAGAGGCTAAGTAGAGACTAGGGGTTGTGAACGGGTAGGTCCATCCTCTAGGGGACCTTTGACACCAAGCAGATTGCCTGAACCTGCTATAGGGTTGGATGAACTGTTCTTGTAAGGCCATCTCTTTTAGATCCAAAGTAAGAAAAGTCCAGAGACTTCAATCCTACAATGCACATGCTTAAAGCCTGAAAACAAGTGTAAAGATAGTGTAAAGGTCCCTCTACATATGTAGGTGCAATGGGATCTAATGCGAGATCAACACAATCATGCATCTTATCATTCCATATGGTGTCTCAGCACTCCCAAGACTGGGAGAATGCCCCACAGATACCTGGACCCAGCTGGGTCCTGGCATGGGGAGGTGCACTGCCACGATCCAGAGTTGTGGTGCAAAGTCAGCAGCTGCCAGGCCTGAGAGTCCCTCCCAGTCCCTCCCAGGGACTTCTAGCCCCTGTGGGACATAGTATGCCCTTGAAGCTGGGAGCTGGGACACCTGACAGGGCTCCCAGCCAGAGGGGAGACCCGGTTACACATGCAAAGTAAAACTGGATACCAAACAGCTATAAAGTCTGTACACATTTTTTAGGTCTAACTTTATATCTGGTTGTATCTTTCTATGGTGTGATAGCTACTTTGCACATGTAGCTAGCTGGTTTCAGTTACTTGTGCATTTAACCAGCTAACTGTGCAATACCTGTAATGTGTAGAAGCGACCTAACAGACATCTAATGCTACCTTAGAAGCCTTTATTATGGCTGTGGCACAATATTTTGAACTCTAATAACTAATATTTCACATTATATAGCTTCCATGGTCCTGAATATGTTTTTTTTTTCCATTTGATTCACATAAATATGACAATAAATATAAAATTTAATATATTATATATGTACATAATGAATAATTGATATCCCTTTCCAGATCCACTGAATTCTTTTCTATGTTTAAATATAGGGCCTGGGAAGGAATATTAAATATTAAGTAATTTATGCCAGGGGTGTCAAATATAGAGTCCATGGGCCAGATTCCTCCTCTGGAGATGTATCATCTGGCCCCTGGTGCTGACCCTGCACAAGGCTAGTCTGTGCCTCCCTGCTTGCTGGATTCAGTGCCAACAGCGCCCAGTCTGGGTGCACCATATGCAGCATGCAGGTGGGAGGCTTCGTGGGTCACCTGCATGCTGGATCCAACACCTGCTCTGGACTGTCTGAGGCTGCATCAGGTGCAGCACAGGCACCAGGCAGTCTAGGACATGTGCTACGTGTGGCATCTGGCCCAGATCAACCGAAGCAAAAACCATGTGCAGCTCATGTCCCAATCCAACCAGGGTGACTGCTGTGTGCTGTCAGTGCTGGATTTAGCATGCAGGGGTGGAGGGGGGAGGGGCCCACCCTATTTATCTGGTCCCATGACACTCACCTGCCCATAGGGCCAGATGAGTGTGATACCTCATATTTAGTCACATTCATGTTTTATATAAATTATAGTACAATGAACTAGAAATAAATGAAGATTACATCCTGAAACGAAATACATTATTAAGATTCTTGTTGGCTTTAGCTAACATTGTTTTCAACACCTTGTTTACCACACTTACCTTTGCACTGCACGCCCTGTCTAAAAAGCCCTTTGAGAAGCTTCTTACAGTACTGGCAAACTGTTGGACGTGTATAGGAGTGGATGACAAAAGTGTGAGGCACTTTAACCTTGGAAAGTAAGATCTTGTCTAGTTGAATGGGTCGTCCAATGTAGGACTGTGAATTTGACCTTTTCTCTCTCCCAATGAATGATTCTGAGGGTGTCTTTTGCTGTAAATACATACAGAATAAACAGTTCACACATATGTAACTTACTTTTTAATGTTTAAGGAGTGTAATGTTTATGTACATTTGCTACAAAACTTGTTCTTCATTTTTTTTCAGTGTTCAATGACATTTGAAAACTTATTTTGGAGAAAAAAATCATTTTTTGGGAAGAAAACACAAAAGAAAAATGCAGAGAATTTCTGAAAATCCCACCCTTTCATAACTGGCATTTTTTCAACTGGCTCTATTCGTGGGTCTTTGTATCCTCCAAGCCAGTCTCCCTCAAATGATCTATGCAGAGCTCAGAATAGCAGTCAGTAGCTTTGTGTCAGGAGCGTCTTAAATCTATAGTAGAATACCTGACCAAAAGGATGGGATACCAATCTGTATAGTAGAATAAATTCCCTAGAAGAGTAACATGCAGAATTACCTCACCCCCTATTTCCACGCTTTTTTCCAGTTCACAGAAAGGTAAGTATATCTACAGTTGCCATGGAAATGAAGTAGGAAAAGGTGTCACTGATCACTGGCCACTTAAAACTTAGTAGATAGTAAATATTTGAATGTCATCTGGAAGTGATCTGACAGCCAGCATAACTTATAGAGCTTAGGTATCATTCTGTAGTGAAGATGTCCTACTCAAAAAGCAAGCAATTTCACAATGCCTGCTGAACCTTAGGTGCCTACAAAATTGCATTTAGACTGAACTTCTTGTAGTTGCCTAGTCTCAAACTAACAACAGTCTAGATTACTACACCAAGATTTCTATCTAAGATGACTGGGTGCAGTTTTCCAGGGTGCAAAAGGTGAATGTACTTTCTTTTTTCCTGGATACTGCTACCTGGGAACCTAAGAGCAGAGAGAAATTTCTAATACTGAATTTGAAAAAAAATTTTAGAAAACAATTTAAGACACTAAGAGCAGTGGTGGCCTTAGGGTTGTGGGGACCCTGGGCAAGAGAGTCATTTGGGGCCCCTTAGAGATATGTACTCAGATAAATATTAACCCACCACAGTTGTTTCGTGGATCTTTTTAATATTCCTTGGGGGAATTAGGTAAATAGTTGAGTGTTAAAATGCAAATAGAGCCATTTCCTTGAAAAAGATTCATGGCCCCCCCCCCCG